TTATCTCAATGTGTCGTCATAAACTTTTACAACGCGATCTTCGACAATTTTCTATAATTTAATTTAATCCTAACTCCCCTCCACAATTTTTCTAGAATATCTTTATGTATCGTGATAGAAAAACTGTGTGCAGAGACTCGAGTAAACTAGTATACTCGAAAATTTCCAATTTTCTATAATTTAATTTAATCGTAATTCTATAATTTTTCTAGAATATTTTTATCACAATTTTCTACGATTTAATTTAATCCGTAACTCCGATCACAGTCGAAATTGTAACATTAATTTTCGTAAATTTATAGAAAGGGATCGAAGAAAGAGAAACGGAGCGATTTAAAATAATTAATTAATCGAGAGCAGTAGCGTATAAAATACGATATAAAATTTTGGAGAGAAATTGTGAAAAGAAATGGTTTTTACGAGACTGGTTTGGCTGGCTTTCGATGGGCGTAAGGATCGTACGGCTCGTCCTGGATTTGTGAGAACACTTGTGGCTCGTCTATCTGTGTTGCGGATCTAAATGTACAACGTTATATAAATAATTTAATGTAAATTACGTAGAGGAGAAAATTTTGAAGAATGGATAAATTTAATAAATAATAAATGAAATGATTACAGGTCGTATTGTTCATCCTGAGTTTGAAAGAATTCTTCAGATTCGCTTATCTGTGCCCCGGATCTACAACATACAATGCGAATAATGATAAACAATTTAATACGTAGAGACAAGAAGGAATAAAATGTATTTACACGTTATACAGTTCGTACACTTCGAGATTTTCAGGAGGTTTTTCCGCTTCGTTCATCCGTGTCTCGGCCCTGTCATGTACAACGTAAATAATAAGGGGACAAGATGCGTGCAATTTAAAAATAATATATATATTTACTGTTTGTCCTTCTCCTTCCTGTTCAAGGAAGATCCCTCTGATTCTTCGCTCATCCTCGGATCTAAGCGCGTAATAATAACGTATTTACAGGTTATAAGTGAATCTTTATTACTAGAGTAGATCGATATTTAAATTTGAAAAGAAAAGGAAAGAAACTTTTGAAATCTATATCAATCGATGAAATAATAATTTTCAAACGAAAGTGTGATATCGTCTTACATTTTGCGATTCAAAGTTAACCAAAAATAACCAATTTGTCCCAAACGAAATATACGTAAATACCTCCGAACTTGTCTACGATATCTTAAATACGAATCGATTAATCGTGATTAAATTTTCAAAGCTCGATTCATAAAACGTCCGAAAGAAAAAAAGCTTGAATCAAATGACAAAAGAATTTAAAGAATTTAAAGAATTTTAACCGAAGCGACATTTGCATTGAAAAATCGCAATCAAAAATATTTCATCTTCGAATTTAAACCCAAAAGATACGATTTAACACAATTACATAAAAAATTCTCCTCAAAAAATTATTTCGATTCAATTCCAAAATAGATTCCTATAATATGATTCTCAAACATTCTCAAACACTTTCCAACAAAAATTCTCTTCAATTCCAATCGAAAAAATCGATGTCATCCTTTAAACTTAGATAACAAGAGACACGATTCAAACATTCTCAAACACCTTCAAACAGAATCACACGAAAAATTTTCTTAGAAAAACTACTTCATTCGATAAAAAAACTCCCATCAACTCCAAACAAAATTTCATTCTTCAAACTTATATATCAAGAAACACGATTCAAACATTCTCAAACACCTTCGAACAGAATCACACGAAAAATTTTCTTCGAAAAACTACTTCATTCGATAAAAAAACTCCCATCAACTCCAAACAAAATTTCATTCTTCAAACTTATATATCAAGAAACACGATTCAAACATTCTCAAACACCTTCGAATCACACAATTTTTTTCGAAAAACTACTTCATTCGATAAAAAAAAACTCCCATCAACTCCAAAT